AGAGCCCGATCCGGACCGAGAAAGTCAGTACGGGCTGGACCGGGCTTTCGGGCTTGCGATTCCTATTTAATAGACATAAGGATAGATGCCGTTTGGAATTAATTGGATTTATTCTTTAGTTTCCTATCTTTCATATATATGCAAAATAAAATTCACTAAAATTTTTTCTTAGAATTTAGCTCTATTGACCTCTTAATGAGAACAAATCTTATGTACAAAAAATTGATTTGCGCGGAAATTGTTAAATAATAAAAAAAAAGTCTCACTAGAACGGATAAAATTATAGATAAACCGTTCATCCCACAATGAATTAAATTTAATTCTTCGAAAATAAATCGAATTAAAGTCTCTCTTCCTTTTTTTGACCTTTTCTTTTCCATTTTTTGCAAGCACGAATGGTAATTCTTCTAAAAGTATGTACAAAAATTATAGATGAAAAACCGACCTATTGTAATATTTTGTGGCATACCATGGGATCAATCTCGCAACGAAATTTCTAGGAAAATAAATTCCTAAGTTGTCTGACATTCATTCATGTTTCTGCGCCACATGGGTTCCGATCGAAACCAATAAATTAGCTGATGAAGACTGTATATATCGACAAATATATCTCTCTCGAAAAAATTTCAAGTATATTGTGGTGGAACCCCAAAGAAGGCAATGCCTTCATTCGGAGGTGTATCAAATGAGACAATTTGAAGGCTTTGTATACGCAAGGATCGGTACATGTTTAGTTACATGATTTATTTATCAAATTTATTCCCAATAATTTTGTTCAAAGTTAGAAATTGACCATCAACAATTTGTGTGCGTTGCAATATGAGTATGTAAGTCTCGTGAAGATGAGTTAGGAATGGAGCTACTAAAGAGGGCCGCGCAAATCGGGCACCTTGGAGCTTTCTTTGTCGCCGGGCTCCTCCTCATCGGCGAGGTGGCTAGTTACTAAAGGAAAGTGTTCGACAGTTGAGACAAGTCTACACGAGCGGGTGCCGCAAGAAGTATTTTGACGTTGTGCACAACATGTGGTGGAACAAACAAGAGGGTTTTGTCAAAGAGGATTTAGAGTGTATATTATCTCATATAATATCTTAAAGTGGCCAACTTAGTCTCAAATAATTCTCCAAGCTCCCCGTGCATTTCTCGTGCATTTCACGAGCATCTTGTAAATATTGTGTGACAAATCTTGATTTCTCACATTTTGTAGCTTGGGTAGAGTTTTTTCCATTCACTAAGATTACGAATCACCTACGAAGTGCAGATGGATAGTCGATCAATTTCACTCATCTATCGGTTTATTTAGTACCATTGGTACGATTGAACCACTCAGGTTGACTTCTATCTTTAGCTTTTGACTTTTTGTAAATATTGCGCTCTTACCTTCAAATTTTTATTTTGACTCGGAAACGAATTTTAGGCGAATCATGAAATCTTATTCTTGTCAATATTTTGTCTCTATAGTTGCAAGATCTTTAATAAATTAGTTAAAGAAGACTACATATATCGACAAATATCTCTCGAAAAAATTTCAAGGATATTGTGGTGGAACCTGAAGAAGGCAATGCTTTCATTCAAAAGTGCATCAAATGGGATAATTTGAAGGCGTTGTATATACAATGATCGGTACGTGTTTAATTACATGATTTATCTATCAAATTTATTCTCTGTAATTTCGTTCAAAGCTAGAAATTGACCATCAACAATTTATGTGCTTTGCAGTATGAGTATGTAAGTCTCATTAAGGTAGAGTTAGTAATGGAGCTACTGAAGAGGGCCGCGCAATTCAGGCACCTTGGAGCTACCTATGTCGTCGAGCTCCTCCTCGCCCGCGAGATGACTAGTTACTGAAGGAAAGTGTTCGACGGCTAAGACAAGTCTACTCGGGTGGGCAAGTGGTGGAATGCCGCAAGAAGTATCTTGACGCTGTGCGCAAAATGTGATGGAACAGGCTTTTGCCAATAGAGAATTTAGGGTGGATATTGTCTTAAATAGAACCTTGGAGTGGTCAACTTAATTTCAACTAATACCCAAGCTCTCTGTGCAGTTCTCGTGCATTTCATGAGCATCTTGTAAATATTGTTTGACGAATCTTGATTCCTCAAGTTTTGTAGCTTGTTTAGGATGTTTTACATTCGTTAAGATTACAAATCACTTACTAGTCGATCTATATCACTCGTCTATTGGTTTATTTAGTATCACCAGTATGGTTGACTCATTTAGGTTGACTTCTATTTTTAGCTTTTGACTTTTTGTAAATCTTGCGCTCTTATCTTCAAATTTTTATTTAGACACGTAAACTAATCATAGGTAAATCATGAAATCTTATTGTTATCAATATTCTGTCTAAGTTGCAAGATCTTTAATAAGTTAGCTTAAGAAAAATACATATATCGACAAATGTCTCTTTCTTGACAAAATTTCAAGGACATTGTGGTGGCACCCCGAAGAAGGTAATGCCTTCATTCGGAACTGCATTAAATGCGATAATTTAGAGGCTTTGTATACGAAATGATTGGTACGTGTTTAATCTCGTGATTTATCTAATTTATTCCCTATAATTTCGTTTAAAGCTAGAAATTCATCATCCATAATTAGTATACGTTGTAGTATGAATATGTAAGTCTCGTGAAGGTAGAGCTAGGAATGGAGCTACTGAAGAGGGCCGTGCAAACCGGGCACCTTGGAGCTTCCTAAGTCGTTAGGCTCGTCCTCGTCGGTGAGGTGGCAAGTTATTGAAGTAAGGTATTCGACTGTTGAGACAAATCTATGCGAGCGGGAGAGTGGTGGAATGCCGCAAGAAGTATCTCGATGTTGTGCGCAACATGTAGTTGAACAAATAAAAGGTTTTCTTAAAAGAGATTTTAGAGTGGATATTGTCTCAAATAAGACTTTGAAATTGCCAACTAAGTCTCAAATAAGTCCACAAGCTGCTCGTGCATTTTGCGTGCATTTCACGATTGTTTGACGAATCTTGGTTCCTCATGTTTCGTAGCTTGGGTAGAGTTTTTTTACATTCGTTAAGATTATGAATCACTTACGGAGTGCACAAGGATTATCGATCAACATCACTCGTCTATAAGTTGATTTAGTACAATGACCCGGTTAGGTTGACTTTTATCTTTAGCTTTTCGCTCTTTGTAAATCCTGCGCTCTCACTTTCGAATTTTTATTTTGACTCGGAAGCAAAACACACCTTTCAAAACATTCCATAAATCTATAAAATAAATGATGTCATATGCAAGGTTTGAGTATAAGAACTAATACCCTTTTCAACTAATTATCATCTGAAAATGATAATGAAACATTGAGTCAAAATAATTATGATACTTTTTACCTTTCAAAACTCATTCAAATAATCAAATATCATCATTTCGCTTGAGAAATTAGAGGCACGGTAGGAAAAGAAAACACATAATTTATTTGGTTTCCCATCTTTCTTCATTCAAAAAAGTAATTAGTAAGAATTAATCGTGTATATGTAAATTCAAAAACCAAATGGTTGGTCCGTTCGTTGTACCTCATATGTGGCCAAAACCATTCTTTACATAAAATATACAAATAAAAATAAAAATATTTTATTTTGAACGACAAACACTAATTGATATATGCAATGACAATAATGATATTAGGTAGATAGATGCAAGAAAATAATTTAACGACAAACACTAATTTCGAAAGCTCCCACGTCGTTACATATGTAAAGCTACACAATTCTTATTTACCAAAGTTAATAAAAAAAACCTATTAAATTTGAGTTGCTTTGACATCCATCAACTTTTTTTTAAAGACAATGGATACGCTGACGTCAGGCATGACGTTAGAAGATTTGGATTCTGATCAATCTGTGGCTCCCCGTGCTTATATTTGCTTGTTCTTGAAGGAGATTTCCATCACCGACCTCATATTTGACCAGCAATAAGGCGAAAACGCAAACAAAAAGGAGGGCAATTCGGAAATGCTTGCTTGCTCTTGATGCATTATAAACTTAGAATGTGTCCACCGTCAATTGGCTTCGTGGGCATCGATCGAGACCGCGTACTAATAAGCTTCGCCGAGAGAGGTCAGTTTATGGTAAACTTTGGTATCATGTCGATGATCTTAACTAAGTAAAACATGCATATCCTGTCGTAATCGCGAATATATTTCATCGTGGGATAACAATTAACGATAAATGCGTTTGTAAGTTTGTACTAGTCTCGAGTGACAATATCGGGCCTTGGCCTCTTGACACTTATAGCTTATATGCCAATCAAGCAATTGCTATATCTATCAAAAAAAAAAAAATTCAGTATGATATACAGATAACTTTGCCTTTCTCTTGAAGCTGTCCAAATAGCTTTTTCTCCTTTTCATAAAGCTTTGACTTTGTTAGAACGTCTTGCCTTATTTCCCCCACTTAAACTATGTAATTCCACTTTCTACTCCTCCTTTAATTGCACTGAAAGGTACTGATGTGAGTTTCAAAGTGACCATGAAATCTCAAGCATTCAGGACTTAATATCATGAAAAAAGAAATTTCTGATGAGTACCCACTTTTGGCAGCTACTATTGCTCGATTTTGCGGACGACACAGCCTTTGAATTTCTATAGAATTTCGAACTATATTCAAGTGAATGAGCTCTTATTAGATTTATCTAGGGAATTGGGAGACTGTAAAGATATGGATGCAGATCATGCAGATTATTTTCTGACGACAAAAGCGACTGAAAAAAAGAAGAACAAGAATGAACAAGAAAGCATTGCGTGCCAGGTGGGACTGCGTCAAGGTGCACGCAAAGAGTCCCTTTGCTTGTCATTTGTCCATAAACTCTCATTTACCTTCAACCCATTCTTCTTTCCTAATGGGTAAATAAGTTCTGATCTTTTCACTGGTATCATACCTGCTATGGAAGCTGACTTAACGACTATTTAAGATCATCACAGTGCAGCCACCGAATCCCAACCTCCACCAGTCCATCTCTTGGAAAAATTCCGATGCTGTTTCAGTCACCATCGTCTCTTTGATGGCCAAAGCATCAGTCCCAGACCAAGTAGACATCAGAACCAGCTCGCTCCCACCAATCTACACAAGAACCAACTCCTCCAAATCCAGCCAACCAGCGCGTCCCACCGTTATTCGCTTCTCAATCTACACTGCCAAACTCCTCGTCTACGTCCTCTCCACATGTGGCCTGCTCTTCATCCTCTCCCAAATCTCCTTCCTCCAATCTCAGTCAACTCCTTTCCCTCAATGGCCTCTCTCTCTCATGCACCAATGGCAAAAAGTCATCCTCGACACCACCTCCATGGTCGCTTCCGACCCCACCACAGCTAATAAGCTCGAGGCCGTGGCCGAGAGGCTCCGCGACGCGGTCACCTTCCTCCCGCTCAAGGACCTGCGCTTCGCCAACCGACCCACTGAGGGCCACACCTGGTTCATGAGCTCCCTCAACGATACCAGCATCAGCGGCGGGCCCCAGCACCTGCGCTTCCCGTCGGACAGCTCAAAGGGTCGGGTCCTATGCCTCAAGGGACGTGACTTACATGATGGCTCGTGGAACTACTATGCCCTCGCGTGGCCTGAGGCCCTCCCGCACAACGCCACCTTCATGATCGGCCTGACTTTCGTGTCGTACAACCACTATGACTACCAAAACATGTGGCACGGCTTGTCCACGTTGTTCCCGTTCGTGGCGTGGCACCAGAGGCACACTTGCCGCCGCCTGCCCGAGCGGTGGGTGCTGTACCACTGGGGCGAGCTCCGGTCAGGAATGTCCCCGTGGCTGAGCAAGCTGATGGAGGCGACGTTTCGGAAGCCACCGTCTATAGAAGTGTTTGATAAAATCAAGGAGGACGGCTGCATCTGCTTCGAGGACGCAGTGGTGACGAGGCACAACGAAGGAGGGATGTCTACGGAGAGGATGATCGAGGCCTACGAATTGTTGAGATGCAGCGTGAGGAGATATTGCAACTTGAGCTCGGAGCTCGATGGTGATGGTAACAAGGTTAACATAATACGTTTGACATTGTTGATGAGACGAGGAGCGAGGTCATTCAGGAACGAGTCGGCGGTGGTTGGGATTTTCCGGAGGGAGTGTGATAAGGTCGGAGGTTGTCGGCTCACGGTGGCTCACTCCGATGATCTCAGTTTCTGTGACCAGGTCAGTGCATAAAACCTGAAATAATCTTTGTTTGAAGACAGTCGTAAATACTTAAAACTCTGTAGTTCGACGATCCACCATGTTAGCTGACAAAACTGAACATGCTAATTCATAAAATGACCAATTGCGGTAAAATGAGGTCCAATTTAATGCCATATACTTTGTAAATCGCAGACCTTGGTATCCACTTATCTTACGAGTAATTGATCACTAAAGTATGTTGGGTTTGTCGGGTTACTTTTGCTTGAAATCAATCACACCATGCAGGCGAAACTGATGAGCACAACCGATGTGTTGGCGTCGCCGCACGGGGCGCAGCTGACCAACCTATTCCTGATGGACCGGAACAGTAGCGTGATGGAGTTCTTCCCCCACGGGTGGCTACAGTATGCCGGGGTCGGCCAGTATGTGTTCCAATGGTTGTCGAGCTGGTCGGGGATGAGGCACCTGGGCGCCTGGTGGGATCCGGTCGGCGAGAAGTGTCCCTACCCGGAGGGCGGCCTCGAATGCTTCGACATCTACAAGAACGCCCAGATCGGGCACAACGAGACCCATCTCAGCGACTGGACGAGGAAGGTTCTCGGTGAAATGAAGCTGAGAAAGAGTGCAGAGACTGTTCCGAACAAGAAGCAGGATCCTACTAGCGCTTGTGCTTGCGGCTGATAATTCGAATATATTGCTTTGCAGTTTTCCACAGCAGATACAATTGTTTTTTTTTTTCTTTCAGACTTTTTGTGATATATTACACCAATGCATGAGCAAAAAGCTTCACTTAAAATAGCTCTCCGTATTTCAGATTTCTCTTTAAGTGACATCAGAACCGTCAAGGAAATTGATGTGCTCTAAGCTGAGAAATAGGTTAGAGGTTGTTTTGCAAGATTCATGAATCTAATTGTCGATGGTAGAGGCGCAAAATGATTATACCACATGTTCAAAAAAATAACAACATTGCAGCGGCGGCGGCGGCGGCGGCGACAACGACGACGGCGCTAAAGGGCTTATTTACAATTGGTAGTTGATACTAGCATTGGCAGCGGGTGTTCGAGTACTAGTTTCATGTTGAGCGATTTTGTAGTCTTAAAAAAAGAAAATAGTCGCCTAGGGAGGATTCGGAGGGGTACTAAACTAGGCCTAACTCCTACAAACCCCCAACTTCAGGTGAAATCCCCCGAACTTATTTGTGTCTAAAAAAATCGTCAACTTTCACTATAATCCTAAATCTGCTCCGCATCCAGAAATCGCAACTAGTTTGTTCAAAATTATCAACATCAGGAGGCTACTGTTACTCCATACGACGGCGAGAGTGTTGGCGAAGACGCAGGTTCTGGTAATGAACCTCTAACTAGCCCCTCTATTGATAGTTTTGAAGAAACCACGGAGGTAGATTTGGGATTATAGTGGAAGTTTGTGAATTCCTTTAAGACAAAAAAAAGTACGGACAGAATTGGGATTGACACTAAAATTTGAAGTTTTTTTTAGGGGAATTAAGCCTAGTAAACTATGCGAGCCCATTCTAAATTATGTGGGTTCATCTTAATTAGATGGGAAAAGCCCATTTATGCACACGCCCCTAATCTCTTGGACGTGTTCACATCCCAACCAGCTCTAAGATTAGAAATTTCTTGGAAAGAAGAAACTGAGCAACGAAAGACAGAGAAAGAGACGAAATCGAGATTGCAGAAGTTGGGTTGGGTGCCCCAAACAAAAAGGAAAAAAGAAAGGAAGACAAAAATAAAAGTGCAGGGATTGGGTTTTGACCTATGTTTAAGAGTATCGAGATCGGACATTGGACTGCTGATTGACTCACAAAATAGTGGGATAAACTATATAAGCGAGTCTCTTAAATTAGGAATGCATTCAAGCAAAGAACAAACTGTCGTCTTGTTTTGTTCACTCTTTGGTTCATCAGAAGATCGACGAAAGTCTAGACCCTTTGATCGAAACTCCCAAGTTCTCAAAGTAACTTTGGCCCACTGCAGAGTACTCAGCTCTCTAGCCCGACCGAATGCATGATATCTGCACAAGAAATGAGAGATCCGTTACTAATTTGCTTGCTCGTAACTTCGTCACAAGAAATCGCATCGGACGAGAATCGAACTCATGTGAATAACTCATTCGTGATCTTTGAAGCTCGGTATGGTGCTAGGAGTCAAGGACATGAGAAAGAAGAATGAAGAAAAGAAAAGGGGTGTCTAGATGAAAGTCTAGGGTTCCAATCCCATTGAAGTTGGTGAGAAAGGAAGGCGTTGATGAAGTGCCATGCGACTTCGATCATTGTGATACGGCGTAAATGATTAACAAATAACATTATGGATCTCAATCTCATCACTCCACTAAATGCATTCTACCCAGTTGTCAACTCTCCTTGAATTCCTCCACGAATAGATCTTGTCATCTTATAAGTCTCCACCTACTCACATGTTTCTTCTCCCATCTCCTTTCCATGTTTTCCATGCCCTAATCTATTGAATTACACCGCTCACATTACAAGAACTGTTTATGGACCTACACCGAGATTCGCCAAAAAAAAAAAAAAATAGGAAAGCCGAGTTGCTGTTAAGTTTCTAAATCGTGATTCATTTTGTTCATCACTTCACCCATGAACTGCCCGTATACTGAATGTGCACAATATTTTCTTCACATCGCCCTCACCGAATAAATTTTGGAATAATCCGGCGTGTGCACAACTTAAGATGGTCTCAACCTTGTAGAAGGTACGGACATTGATTACTCATATCAATCCGCCCGCTAATGAGGTCCGACTTCGTTTGGTTCATTCGGAATTGAAATCCATGTCCTAAGAATGCAATTCTAGGGTTTGCAGACACTTCCTACGATGATTAGGAATAAGATTATAATTTACGATTTAAAGAAATCGTTGCTAGTAAGGAAAATGAATGACAGTTGCTCAGAAGCCATGCTGAGAACCAGAAGGCTATAGCCCTGGCATTTAAATAAGCAAAAAGAACTTTCAAGATGCTTCCAGGTAGCATCGTCCGGCGTCAAATGTGGAGGTTGTCGACGCCGGTAAATCCGAAGAAAACTCGAGTCGGACTCCGTCTTCCTCGTTCGTGCACGAACTCTCATTTACCTTCATAAGCATCATCATCTCTTAGATGGCCAAAGCTTCATGCCCAGATGAAGTGGAGATCAGAACCACCTCACCTCCCACCAATCCACACAAGAGCCAACTCCTCCAAATCCAACCAACGACAATGTCCCACCACCGTTCTTTTCTCAGTCAACACTGCCAAACTCTTCGTGTGCGTCCTCACCGCATGCTTTCTCCTCCTCATCCTCTCCCAAATCTTCCTACTCCAATCTAAATCAACTCCTTCCTCTCAATGGCCGCTCTCCCTCGTGCACCAATGGAAAAAAATCATCCTCGACACCAGCTCCGTCATCGGTCCTGATGCCGCCACTGCGGCCACAGCTAATAAGCTCGAGGCCGTGGCAGAGAGGCTTCGCGATGCGGTCACGTTCCTCCCACTGAAGGACCTGCGCTTCGCCGACCGACCTGCCGATGGCCACACCTGGTTCATGAGCTCCCTCGATGACACCAGCATCAGCGGCGGGCCCCAGCACCTGCACTTCCCGTCGGAAAGTTCAAAGGGCCGGGTGCTATGCCTCAAGGGACGCGACGGGCATGATGGCTCGTGGAACTACTATGCCCTCGCGTGGCCTGAGACCCTCCCGCGCAATGCCACCTTCATGACCGGCCTGACTTACGTGTCCGACAACCACTATGACTACCACAACATATGGCACGGCCTGTCGACGGTGTTCCCGTTCGTGGCGTGGCACCAGGGGGAAGGTTGCCGCCGCCCGCCCAAGCGGTGGGTGCTGTACCACTGGGGCGAGCTCCGAGCCGAGATGGGCCTGTGGCTGAGCAAGCTGATGGAGGCCACGTTCGGGAAGCCAACATCCATAGAAGTGTTTGATAAAATCAAGGAGGACAGCCCGGTCTGCTTCGAGGAAGCTGTGGTGATGAGGCACAGCGAAGGAGGGATGTCTAGGGAGAGGATGATCGAGGCCTACGACTTGATGAGGTGCAGTGCGAGGAGGTTCTGCAACTTGAGCTCGGAGGCTGATGGCGATGGTAACAAGGTTAACACGATACGTTTGACGTTGTTGATGAGACGAGGAGCTAGGTCATTCAGGAACGAGTCAGCCGTGGCCGGGATTTTCCGGAGGGAGTGCGATAAGGTCGAAGGTTGTAGGCTCACGGTGGCTCGCTCCGACGATCTCAGTTTCTGTGACCAGGTCAGTGTTTTAAACCTGAATTAATCTTCGTTTAAATTATTACTTGTTGATACTTAACTTTTGTAGTTTCGAGACACTGAAAATACAAAAGAAAAGAGAGAAAAAAGTGAAGTTCTTCTGAGATTCTTCTTAAGTAAATTAGTGTATATACCTTTTGATCCTTTGGTGTAGATGGGTCGAATAATCTAGCTGGTGACGGTGGACATAGTTGAGTCTTCAAATTGGACTCCGCTAATCACACTAATCGGCCAAAAAGTTCACGGAGTGCACGCATGTTAGGCGCTAACACAACATGCTAGATGACAAACTGAACAAGCTAATGCATGAAATGACCATTTGGGGTAAAATGAGGTACAATTCAATGCCATATGCTTTCTAAATCGCACATGTTAATTGACCTTCACTTATCTTGCTGGTTATTAATCACTAAAGCAGGCTGGATTTGTGGGGTTGCTTTTGCTTGAAAGTCGAAACTGAAAACATAGTGCAGGTTAAACTGATGAGTACGACGGACGTGCTGGCGTCGCCGAACGGGGCGCAGCTGACCAACCTGTTCATGATGGACCGGAACGGCAGCGTGATGGAGTTCCTCCCCAAGGGGTGGCTGCGCTATGCCGGGATCGGCCAATACGTGTATCGGTGGCTGGCGAGCTGGTCGGGGATGAGGTTCGAGGGCGCTTGGTGGGACCCAGTCGGCGAGGAGTGTCCTTACCCGGAGGACGCCGCTAAATGTTTCAACATCTACAAGAACGGCCAGATCGGGCACAACGAGACCCATTTTAGCGAGTGGATAAGAAAGGTTCTCGGCGAGGTGAAGCTGAGAAAGATAGGAGAGACCGTTCCAAACAAGAAGCAAGATTCTATTGGTGCTTGTGCTTGCGGCTGGTAATTCTGATATGGTGCGCCGAGTCGCCGACGATGGAGGGATGGGGGAACGGCGCACAGTGGAGGGTAGTGAGCAATAAGAGAGAGAGAGAGATCCGGAGGCCGAGCGATGGCGGCGTTCGTTGGCCGGACGAGCGGCCGACTATTGGGGTCGTGGCGGTCCTCGCACCCAACAAATTAGACTCGATAATACTAAGATGGATCAACGACATCATGGCACAAACTCTCTTTCAGTATCAAACATGACTTCTTCGTTTAGACTGTTGCACATCGCTAAAAATTCAATCTTGATAAAACCAACTCTGGGTATCCGAAGCAAGAGTCGACTCTATGATGGAGAATTCTCTTTCTTCATGTACAGTTTGTATTCTGTGTTTCTGTATCAATTGAAAAGCAAAAACCTGTCAATCCAAAAATGGTACGATCTTCTTCCGATGTAGGCATGAAGTCTTCGCTATCTTTCCATCTGTTCAAAGGCTTCTTCGCTAATCTGTACAAGAATGGAGACTGCCCGGAACGAAACGATCCTCGCTCACGCCATGTCTGCCATCTTCCCGTGCCCGCACCGATCATCGTCATCACGGTCATTGTTCACGTTCGCTGTGCTGTGACCACGATTAGCTCCTTCGTCTGCGCGAGAACTCGACCCGTGGCTCTTCACGTACAGGCCACAAGCGATCGTGTCCAAGACTACGACGACCGAATACAACCAAGCGATCACCACCCCTTCCGAAGCCATGGCCAGGTAAGGCCTCTCGCCGCTTCGACCCTCCATCACCGACCGGTATCGGAACCGAAACAGGGCTTCGACGGCGGCGAGGCAGAGATAGTGAGGCAGAGCGATCAACAGAGCCGCCGATTCCCTGCGCCTCAGCGAGCAAGCCTTGCGGATCGCCTCGGTAGCGGAGCAATTCTCGATCCCCGCGACGGCGAGAGCGACGTCGCACACGGCGGACAGGTTGGCGGCGATCGCGTAAGAGACTGTCCGGGTCGTTAACGCGAGGAGGTTCCCGCGGCCGCTCGAGAAGAACCCGTGCGGGACGGAAGCCATCGCGTCGGCCGCGAGCGCCAGCGACGTGTGCAGGAGCTGGAGCTTCACGAGGCGTCTGTAGAGAGGGAAGGAAGACGAGAGGGACGAGCCGTGGCGATTCGCCAGGGCTTGTATGACGCGGGATTTCGCCATGGCGAGGAAGGTGAGAGCGAGCACGAAGCTAAAGATGGTGCGAAGGAGGGATTGCCGAAGGGAAAGCGAAGTGGTGTTGGTCGCCGGGAAGAGGGAGCGAGAGAGGAGCAGCGATGCAGAGTAAGGGAGCAGAAGCAGAACAGGGGCGTTGAAGGAGTCGATGTTCTTGAGGAAACTGTGAACTGATCGCCTGATGATTCTCGCTGCCCCCTCCATCTCCCAGTTCGGTTGATGGGTCTTCGTTTGGATTCCCTCTATGGCAGAATTTGGCAGAGTTGGGCAGTAAATGAGGCAAAAAGAGAGATATTTTTCTCTTCGATGGGTTTGGGTTTTCGCACGAGAAGAGTGTGATGTGATCCGTTTCTGCCGACTGACTGTTTCTTGACGATACCATTCAAACTGAGTTCCGACCCTCAAATGGTGTTTTGTTTCTTTCCGCAGCAGAGAAAAAGAGGCAAACTTTGTCTCATAACAGCAAGAGTCAGCAGAGGTTCTTCTTCTGAGATTTCAAGGTTTGTGTTAAAGGAGGGAGGAGATGAGGTTCGATTTCTCTCTCTGTTTTGTGGTGTGTGTTGCCACTTCCCACCTGCCATTTGAACCAACCAGGAACTAACGCACAACTGCCGAGGATGGTGCGTTTTTTTTTTCCTCTACTACTCGTTCTGTGAAGTCAGCATGGCCGTATCAGCAGCGACCACGAAGATTTGGCCCCCCATCTGTTCAGTTCAGTGCGTACAGATCTGATTTGGTCACGGCCGTTTTTTGGATATAGCTACCGCAACGCCTCCTTATCTAACGTTTTGGCCAATGTCTTGATTCTTTCGTGGGGGTCATACGTTGCGTGCACGAGAATTTGGAGCGTGAATAAATTATTGTTTGTCTTGGCAATTTAACAGATTTGCCTCGACGGCAATCCGTGCCGCCGGAAGATGAGGTATCTGTCGTTGTCCGGGCCCTAGATTTGTAACGGGGTTTATTCCAAAAAAAAGCACCAACTTTAGGTTGAGGGACAATTCTGGCCCGAACTTTTTTTTGTTCCATAAAAAAACACCAACTTTAGGTCGATAGACAATTCTGGCCCGAACTTCTTTTTGTCCCATAAAAAAGCACAAACTTTAGGTCAAGGGACAATTCTGGCCCGAACTTTTTTTTGTCTCGTAAAAAAGCACAAACTTTCATTTAAATCCCAAATTTGGCCCCCACATTGACTTTCTGTCTGAAGTTACCCTTGTTTGAGAAAAAAAGTTATGGTGGTGAGCCTGGCGAATCTCTTCCATGGCGTCTGTTGACGGACGGTGGTCTATAACTGATTACGACAAGCGACGAAGTTTGGCCGGAAAGATTCAATCGGAGATATTTTTGACTTTAGGTGAAGTGAAAGAGACGAACAGGTTTCACCGTTATTCTTCAAGGTCGTGGTTCGGAGAATAAGACAATGAATAATCTTTAAATCAGTCAAGAAGTCACGTGGATTTATTCTTAGGTGGAATAGTCGAGTTGGAAAATCAATGGTTTAAGTCAATAAGGGCCGGATTTGGGATTTAAGTGAAAATTGGTGCTTTTTTACGAGACAAAAAAAAGTTCGGGCCAGAATTGTCCCTCGACCTAAAGTTGGTCCTTTTTTACGGGATAAAAAAAAAAGTTCGGGCAATAATTATCCATCGACCTAAAGTTGATGTTTTTTTATGGAAAAAAAAAAAGTTCGGGCCAAAATTGTCCCTCGACCTAAAATTGGTATTTTTTTTTTTAATTAACCCACTTGTAATGTGATGGTGTTGTCGAAATCGTGCATTTTCGGGGTGATTGATTGGAGTGTCGGCTCATTTGAGTAGTCAGAATCAGCACTATCGCTACATGCATTGAATTAGCATTTCCCTCTGCTTTTTTTGGTTTTCTTAATAATAGAAACCCGTCCCGTCCTCGTTTGCAACGATGGCGATAGGTGAAACTCCTTGTGGGAAAAGCGTGAGGCGACCCTCTTTCCCCCGCACTCAATTGAGATCTAGGGTGTTGTCTCGAGGGCATTCAAAACTCGCACCTACATTTAATAAACGAGAATGGCTCTACTTTTAGTCTTTGGACACTTGTACATGCTTTTGGAAAGCCGCAACAAATTTTTTTTTTTTTTTTATAGAAGGTGATGAAATTAGGTAAAAGAAAGTAGGGACGGACGACTCTACGGAATGAACCCCAATTTTCAAGTAGTAGCACACTGGTTTTTGAAGCTCTGGAATTTTTCCTCAAAATTATAAAAAAAAAAATGTTGCATATGATGCGTACGGAGATGTTCATTTATATGAAGAACATATAAAGACAAAATTTGGCATGGGGATATAATTAGAACTATTTCCATTCTTCTTCTTAATGAAATGGTCATACGAATGGCGAATTGGACCAGATCTCCGGCGTTTTGATCATTCGCCTGTAACTCCTCGCTTTTGCTGGTTTCTTCTTGTTCTGCTGATGCTTATTCTTCTTCGTCATCATCTCTCGGATTTCAGCACCGGTCAAACTTCCGATTCGCCGGTCATCTGGTCGAATCGCTGGGATGGTAAGTTTGGCCGATTTAGAACTGACATTATGTTAGGTAAATAAGCATTGAAGCCATCAGACATATAGAAACATCCAGCCTAGTTGGCTTAAGTGCTTATGTGCGTGTTCTTGCAGCGAAATTCTTTAAAGAAAAGAAAGGAAAAGATCGAATGGCTACTAAATGATGAAGGACACGTGTCGTCCATCAAGGCAGGTTAGGCGACAATATTGGGTACAGGACCGCTACGCCTTTATTAGTTCGGTGAGAAACTCTTACTTCAGGAAAATATTGAGTGGTTACTTTCCACCACGTCAGTAGCCGATATCGCAAGCATTTGTTTGCGCCTACCCAATTACAGATTGACACATATGCACTGACTTGAAATTAAACACAAAGACAAAAAACTTCAATTCTCTCTATTTAGAAAAATTACCAAAAAAGTCATAAACCTATTAAATATAGTCCTAAACCTTTTTTGCCAATTGAGTCTTATACCTTTTATATTTGTATCAATTCAGTCCATCCGGTGTTGACAAGGGCATTTTTAATATTTTTTGAATTTTTTATTTTCTTTTTCATTCTTTTATTTTCTTTCTCTTTCTATTTTTTTCTTCCCTTTTTCTTCCTCCAACTGGTCGCCAAGAGGTGAAGGCCAGCAAGGTCGACCTCGCCGGCCACTGGCAATCTGACCTTGCCGTCATTGGGTGAGGCCGAGCCTTGCCAAATTTGGCGAGGGCTCACCCAGCCACGGTAAGGCCGACCTCGCCCACCCTTGGGTGAGCTCTTGCCACATCTAGCCGCCTAGCGATGGTGAGGATGGCCTCATCATGGCTCGACGAGGCCTTCGCCGGCCTTTACCTCTAGCTAATTGCCGAGGTTCGGCGACCAGCTGGAGGAAGAAGGAAGGGAGGGAGAAAAAAAATAAAAAAAATAAAAAAGATTAAAAATTATTATTTAAAAATGTCCATATCAGCGCTAGTCGAGCCACGTAGGATGACCGGCATCCACCTGCGCCAGTTGGCCAAAATTAGCCGGATGTACTAAATTGACACAAGTACAAAAGGTTTATAACTTAATTGGCAAAAAGAAGAAGAAGGATTTAAGATTGAATCAGCAAAATTGCAATAGGTTTAGGACTTTTTTGGTAATTATCACCCTAGCACGACCGTCGCCACCACTCAAGCTGCTGCAACTTCCATCCTCGAGTCCTCTACATCGTTATCGCTATCACACCCAGCAGTGAGTTTACACCCTTCGCCTTCATTGCTACAGATCTACTATGGCCGACCAAATCTGGAGCCATGGTGAGAGGGAGGTGACCAGACCTAAATAGTGACCGGTGAGGCGGGAAGACGAAGAGGATGCATAAGGGAAGGACAACCTAAAGACGAACAAAGGAAGATGAAGCTGAAGATCATATCTAGAACCATGGTGACGGCGGGAAGACGAAGTGGCCAGATCTGGCCTGTGACCGAAGATGAAGCTGAACAAACGCATGGAGGAAGACAAAGCCGAAGACGATAACAACCACTTCTAGATTTGGCAACGGATGAGCCTACACGCGAGCAACCATGAAGGGGTGGCTCGACCATGGACGGCTAACGACCGTGAGCTGCCACGACTGAGATGGTGGGTTAGCCATGGTCCATGGCTCCAGATCTCACCTTGTCAGTTGTGGACCATTGTTGTCACCGGCTTGATCCGGTCGGCTCCGTCTCCTTGTGGTCGCTATGACTTCAGCCATATCTGAACGGTAGCAACGAAGAGAGAGGGAGGAAGAGAGAGAAACAATTATATTGGTATTTTTTTAATTCTAGGTCAGTGTCTATGTGACAAGTTTTAATTGGATATGGATAAAAAAGGTACGCCACGTCAGCAGTTGACGTGGTGCTTTAAAACTACTTAACATTTTCTCCTCTTCTTCTATTTAAATGTTCTTGCTGGTAACGTACGGACACAAAATGATGTTCTTTAAAGGTCATTTACAAAATGACAGGACGGATTAGGAATTTCAAAAGATCATTCTTATTTAACCATTCAACAAGAGCTTATTAAAGTAAATACGCTATGTCATATAAGTAGGATGTGGTGGATGTACGTGTCACATGTAGACCTGTCAAAATGGATTATAGATTCATTTCTTAACCCATATTTGATGGGCTGAGTTGTTATATAGGTTGGTTATTTAGTAAATAAATCATAAATGGGTTTAGAATTGTAAAACTCAAAATAATATGGGTGTTAAATGGGTTCACAACTTACTTAGACTCAACCCGCCTCTATTGCTATCTCTTCACTTTCTCTCGCGCTTGCTTATTTTGTGCTCTCACCTTAATTCGGGTATGACTTTTCTTAGATTCGGTTAAGTATATATTTGTTTTAGCATATGTGTCGAGTGAGGTATGTGTCACTAAACTTGTATTGCATGAAAATTTGTCAATTTGGGTCGAACCAATTTCGATCCAACTCGATTCACCCATTTGACGCGTCTAATCACATGTGCGTGCGTCGCCAGATGCATGTAATGTATGTTGAATACAATTGCTCTCACTTACCTCTTGACGAGTCGAAACTTCTCATCACGTGATTTGTATAGAATTTCAAGATATAATTGATAAATACAGTTGCATTAAATTTTTAATATTGATAATATGCATGCGCAATTTCAATTGTTGTCAGGCTCGCCACGCATAATAATCACCAATTGATACGGTCGGATGACCGATTGTAAAGAAATCCTTTAGCCACGTCATAATCATCTTCATCATCTTTGTTAATCCATTAAGCATGTGGTCTAATCACTTGCCCCTCTACCCTAAACAATTTTTCATGATTTTGCAAAGAAAACCCCTAAACCATCTCTCGGCTTAAACCCCTAAACGAAGAGCTATTTAAGGGAAACTATATTCTAATGCACTGATGGAATATATCACAGAAAAATTGGGGAAAAAAACAAATGTGTATGTCATGGAAAATTAGAAAACAATATATTAGAATTACTAGCTGCAAGCACAACCACCGATAGGGTCCTGCTTCCTCTTCGGAACGGTATCTGCATTCTTTCTTAGCTTCACCTCACCGAGAACCTTTCTCGTCCACTCGCTAAAATGGGTCTGATTGTGCCCGATCTGGCCGTTCTTGTAAATGTTGAAGCATCTGATGTCGCCCTCCGGGTAGGGACATTTGTGGCCGATCGGGTCCCACCAGGCGCCCTGGTGCCTCATCCCCGACCAGCTCGACAGCCATTGGAACACATATTGGCCGACCCCGGCATAGCGCAGCCACCCTTTGGGATAGAACTCCATCACACTGCTGTTTCGGTCCATGATGAACAGATTGGTCAGCTGCGCCCCGTGTGGCGACGCCAACACGTCCGTCGTACTCATCAGTTTCACCTGCATAATGTTATTGGTTTCAAGCACAATAAACCCCGGCCACGAACCCAACATACTTTAGTGATTAATTACTTGCAAGATAAGTGGAAACCAAGGTCAATCAACATGTGCGATTTGCTAAGTATATGCCAGTGAATTGGACCTAATTTTACCGTAATTGGTCGTTCCATACATTAAGATTTTCGGTTTGTCATCCAACATGGTGTGTCAACGCCTAACATGCAAGCACTCATTGGATGTTTGTTCGAATGGTGTGGATTATTCGTCGGAGCGAATTTGGACCTTATCGTAATTTTATGCCATTGAATTGGACCTCATTTTGCCGTAATTTTGTGCACCGACCTGGTCACAGAAACTGAGATCGTCGGAGCGAGCCACCGTAAGCCTACAGCCTTCGACCTTATCGCACTCCCTCTGGAAATTCCCGACCACCGCCGACTCATTCCTGAACGACCTCGCTCCCCGTCTCATCAACAACGTCAAACGGATCGTGTTACCGTTGTTACCATCACCGTCGTCCTCCGAACTCAAGTTGCAGTATCTCCTCACCCTGCACCTCAGCAATTCGTAGGCCTCGATCATCCTCTCCATAGACATCCCTCCTTCGTTGTGCCTCGTCACCACAGCGTCCTCGAAGCAGACGGAGCCGTCCTCCTCGATTTTATCAAATATTTCTACAGAGGGTGGCTTCCCGAAAGTGGCCTCCATCAGCTTGCTCAGCCATGGGGCCATTCCGGGCCGGAGCTCGCCCCAGTGGTACAGCACCCACCGCTCGGGCAGGTGGCGGCAGCCTTGCTCCTGGTGCCATGCCACGAACGGGAACACGGTCGACAAGCCGTGCCATATGTTGCCGTAGTCGTAGTGGTTGTAGGACACGAAAGTGAGGCCGCTCAAGAAGGTGGCGTCGCGTGGGAGGGCGTCGGGCCATGCGAGAGCATAGTAGTTCCGCGAGCCGTCATGGACGTCGCGTCCCTTGAGGCATAGCACCCGGCCCTTCGAGCTGTCCGACGGGAAGCGCAGGCGCTGGGGCCCGCTGCCAATGCTGGTATCGTTGAGCGAGCTCATGAACCAGGTGTGGCCCTCGGCGGGTCGGTCGGCGAAGCGCTGGTCCTTGAGCGGGAGGAAGGTGACCGCGTCCCGCAGCCTCTCGGTGGCGGGGTCGGGAGCGATGACTCTCTGCCATCGGTGCACGAGGGAGAGGGGCCATCGAGGGGAAGGAGTCGACTGAGATTGGAGGAGGGAGATTTGGGAGAGGACGAAGAGGAGGACGCCCGTAGAGAGGACGTAGACGAGGAGTTTGGCGGTGTAGATCGAGAAGGGAACGGCGGCGGTAGGCCGTGGCGGCTGGCTGGGTTTGGAGAAGCCGGTTGGGGTGTAGATGGGTGGGAGGGAGGTGGCTCTGATGTCCACTCTGCACGGGGATGATGCTATGGCCATCAAGAGAAGATGGGGATTTGATCAAGTGTAGAAATTCTTGGTGAAGAGGATCGATCTTAAATACTCGTCAAGGTCAGCTTCGCTCGAGGTGGACATTGGACAATGTCAACCTTGTTAGCTAGAAGAGTGGTAAACGCGGCAACTTAAATCTTTGGATGCAATTAAAGGAGGAGTGGGATCAGGGAAACATCCCCACCATTGCATCGTTGAAATGAAATGCAACCTGCATGGGAGGAAATACGTCGTCGCGCGTCCCTCCCTCCCTCGGTCTCTGTCTTCAATTCCATGCTAAACATTTCAGGGAGTGGTATCGCACTGAATTGGTTCATTAGATATGGCAATTTTGATGCTTATAATCTATCCAAACGTGTACGGCAAGAGCCCGTCGGAAAAATCTCGACATATCTCGTCCGTTTGTCTGTCTATTCGATGAGGCATCTAAACTAGAGGTGTTGACGGCAGCCAAGACCTGATACCGTCACTAAAGTCTAGTGTATTTACAAACGCATTGACCATCGATTGTCATTTTGCGATAAAATATATTCGTTTAGTATAATTAGACCCCCTCAATATTGAAGCCTTATGGCCGTGCAATCTCAACCGATGTACACAAAGCCGGTTGATCTCAACCGCATGCGGACGTTACATGAGATTCATAGAAATATCTAATGCTCGATGCATAGCATAAATTTAGAGAAATGATTAAGTAACCGTTTCTAATTCACTACGAGATCAACAGCCCTGTTCTTAAACTTGTATGCATCAAACGGCATGCGAACGTTTCCGAACTGCTCTCCCTTGTTTTGGGTTTCCTCTTTCGCCCTGTTACTTGGTCAAAATTGAGATCGGTGATGGAAAATCTTCTTCAAGAACAAGCAATTAAAGTCCCACTTGCTTCGGCGGCCCTTTTTCTAATTGCGATCCACAGCGCATCCGTGACGTCAGCGTGTCACGCTCACGTCAGGCGTGCGCTGTGGTCCGCACTTCGGAAAGGGCGACCCCCCCAAAAAGAAAAAATATTTTACTTTTCTTTGCTTCTTTTCATCGTTATTTTGTGTATTCCACGCAGGACAAGGGTTTTTGGCCGTGTAAGAAGACATCCCGTTGCTAATCACTTTTCTTAATCAAGACGTTTATTGCTACTTTGGCAAGGGAGGAAAGACGACAACTGTTTGGCGAAATATAAAATGGATTTGAATATTAAAATGATCATTTACATTGTTTAGAAAAATAAATAAACAAAAAATATTTTCATCGTTTACTGTTTAGTAGTAAATTATTTTTTGTAATGGAGAAATTTTTTGTTGACTAATTATTTCAAAGGATACGAATAATTATTTTCATGATAAAATTTTTCAAATTATTCATTTTTCGCGAAACAAACGGAGTCTAAAAGAATTTGTATTTTCTACTTCCATGCCTTTAATTTCGCAAGGAAAATAATGATAATCGATTATTTGAATGAGTTTCGAAGGAAGAAGAGTTTTACCTTTGGGATATTGATGCCATTCACACCTATAAAGTAAAAATGGAAAGTTAGATAACTTTAGGCTTTCCACCACGTCAGTAGCCGATATCGCAAGCATTTGTTTGCGCCTACCCAATTACAGATTGAGACATATCCACTGACTTGAAATTAAACACAAAGACTAGACCTGTCAAATTGGTGGGTCGGGTCGGGTTTGGGTTTGATCATAAATGGTTCGATCCAAATTGATCTATTAACCCATTTATGACTCATTTTATGTGTAATGTAATTTTCTTGACCCATACCCGATCCGACCCATACCCAACCCATACCCGATCAGACCCATATTGCTAAAACACTTCCATATTTAATTAAATCTAGAAAAATTCATACCAAATTAAGATGAGAGTGCGAAATTGAGCGAGGGCAAGGTTGAGTAAAGGCGAGAGAGATGAGTTGAGTTTAAATTAGTTATAAATTCATTTATGACTCATTTACGACTCATTTATGACCCATTTAATACTAATATTATACTTCTACCCATTTATGACCCATTTAATACTAATATTAGACTTCTACCCATTTATGACCCATTTACTAAATATAACTAACATATTTATGACTCATTTACTAATATATGGGTTAAGAAATGGGTTTATGACCCATTTTGACAGGTCTAACAAAGACTAAAAACTTCAATTCTCTCTATTCAGGAAAATTACCAAAAAAGTCATAAACCTATTAAATATAGTCCCAAACCTTTTTTGCCAATTAAGTCTTAGACCTTTTACATTTGTACCAATTCGGTCCATCCGGTGTTGACAAGGGCATTTTTAATATTTTTTGAATTTTTTATTTTCTTTTTCATTCTTTTATTTTCTTTCTCTTTCTATTATTTTCTTCCCTTTTTCTTTTTCCAATTGGTCGCCAAGAGGTGAAGGCCAGCAAGGTTGACCTTACTGGCCACTGGTGAGTTGACCTTACCGTCATTGGGTGAGGTCGAGCCTCGCCAAATTTGGCGAGGGCTCATCCAGCCATGGCAAGGCCAACCTCACCTGCCCCTGGGTGAGCTCTTGCCACATCTGGCCGCCCAGAGATGGTGACGTCGGCCTAATCATGGCTCGACGAGGTTCTCGCTGGCCTTTACCTCTAGCTAATTACCGACGTCCGGCAACCAGCTGAAGGAAGAAGGAAGGAAGGGAGGAAAAAAACAAAAACAAAATTAAAAAAATTTAAAACTATTATTTAAAAATGTCAACGTTAGCGCCAGTCGAGCCACGTAAGACGACTAGCGTTCACGTGCGCCAGTTGGCCAAAATTAGCTGGATGTACTAAATTGACACAAATACAAAAGATTTATAATTTAATTGAAAAAAAAAAAGATTTAGGGCTGAATCAGCACAATTGCAATAGGTTTAGGACTTTTTTGGTAATTCTCCCCTCTCTTTTCCTCCACCATGACGGCCACTGCTCCATCACCCTAGCACGACCGTCGCCACCGCTCAAGCTGCTGCAACTTCCATCCTCGAGTCCTCCGCGTCATTGTGGCTATCACACCCAACGGCGAGTTTACGCCCTTCGCCTTCATTGCTACAGATCTTCTATGGCCGACCAAATCTAGAGCCATAGTGAGAGGGAGGTGACCAGACCTTAATAGTGACTGGCGAGGCGAGAAGACGAAGCGGATGCATAAAGGAAGGAAAACCCGAAGATGAACAAAGGAAGACAAAGCTGAAGATCATGTCTGGAGCCATGGTGACGGCGGGAAGACGAAGTGACCAGATCTGGCCGGTGGCCGAAGACGAAGATGAACAGACGCATGGAGAAAGACAAAGCCGGAGACGATGACAACCACTTCTAGATTTGGCGACGGACGTGCCTAAACATGAGCAACCATGAAGGGGTGGCTCGGCCATGGACGGCTAACGACCGTGAGCCGCCGCGACTGAGATGGTGGGTTAGCCATGGACCATGGCTCCAAATCTCACCTTGTCGGTCGTGGACCAATATTGTCACCGGCTTGATCTGGTCGGCTCCGTCTCCCTGTGGTTGCCATGACTTCGGCCATATCTGAACCGTAGCAATGGAGGGAGAGGGAGGAAGAGAGAGAAAAAATTATATTTGTATCTTTTTAATTCCAGGTCAGTGTCTATGTGACAAGTTTTAATTGGATATGGGTAAAAAAAGTATGCCGCCACGTCAGTGTTGACGTGGTGCTTTAAAACTACTTAACATTTTCTCCTCTTCTTCTATTTAAATGTTCTTGCTAGTAATGTACAGACACAAAATGATGTTCTTTAAAGTTCATTTACGAAATGACAAGACGGATTAGGAATTTCAAAAGATCGTTCTTATTTAACCATTCAACAAGAGCTTATTAAAGTAAATATGCTATGTCATATAAGTAGGATGTGGTGGATGTGCGTGTCACATGTAGACCTATCAAAATGGGTTATAGATTCATTTCTTAACCCATATTTAATGGGCTGAGTTGTTATATGGGTTGGTTATTTAGTAATAGATCATAAATGAATTTAGAATTGTAAAACTCAAAATAATATTGGTGTTAAATGGGTTCACAACATATTTAGACTCAATCCACCTCTATTGCTATCTGTTCACTCTCTCTAGCACTTCTTCATTCTGTGCTCTCACCTTAATTCGGGTATGACTTTTCTTAGATTCGGTCGAGTCAGATATGTGTCACTAAATTTATATTGCATGAAAATATATCAATTTGGATCGAACCAATTTCGATCCAACTCGATTCACCCATTTGACACGTCTAATCACATGTGCGTGCGTCGCCAGATGCATGTAACATATGTTCAATATAATTGCTCTCGCTTACCTCTTGACAAGTCGAAACTTCTCATCATGTGATTTGTATAGAATTTCAAGATATAATTGAAAAATACAGTTGCATTAAATTTTTAATATTGATAATATGCATGCGCAATTTCAATTGTTGTCAGGCTCACCACGCATAATATAGAATCACCAAGTAATACGGTCGGAATGATCGATTGTAAATAAATCCTATAGCCTCGTCATCATCATCTTTGTTAATCCATTAAGCATGTGGTCTAATCACTTGCCCCTCTACCCTAAACAATTTTTCATGATTTTGCAAAGGAAACCACTAAACTATCTCTCGGCTTAAACCCCCAAACGAAGAGCTATTTAAGTGAAACTCTATTGTAATGCATCGGTGTAATATTTCACAAAAAAAAATTGGGGAAAAAAACAAATGTGTATGTTATGGATAGAATTATCAGCTGCAAGCACAACCACCCAGAGGGTCCTGCTTCCTCTTCGGAACGGTATCTGCATTCTTTCTCAGCTTCGCCTCATCGAGAACCTTTCTCGTCCACTCGCTAAAATGGGTCTGATTGTGCCCGATCTGGCCGTTCTTGTAAATGTTGAAGCATCTGATGTCGCCCTCCGGGTAGGGACATTTGTGGCCGATCGGGTCCCACCAGGCGCCCTGGTGCCTCATCCCCGACCAGCTCGACAGCCATTGGAACACATA